CCTCGGAATGGAAGGACATACCATTCCTACCTACATATCATAATATATTATTCTTATATATATGTATCATACGATCCCTCAGTTGAGGATCGTGAGAGGTCCAAGATACTATTCGAAGAATACCTCACGAAGAATAGAGATGTCACGAGTCCGGAATAGAGAACCCCCATGTAGATTCACTACCAGATCTACACGAGGTTCTAATCGGAACTTCGGAATTCTCGTGAACGCGCNGAATCGAAATCGCCAAACGGCGGCATCATATGATTGTAATATTGTCGTCGTCTGATCGTTATCGAATCATCATCTAACGATTATCTAATCGTCGTAGGATTGCTACCCAATCATAATATAACGATCATCTAATCGCCATCTAACGATCATCTGAACGAATCGCCAATCCGTACTGCCTCATCATAACCCCAACCCCAACATCTCATCCCGTTCCGAAAATCATTKGATTCCGTGACGTAAATCAAATAAGCTTTAGTTCGTCATCGTCTGGACATCATCTGAACGAATCGCCAAAGTGGGGTGGAAATGGAAACAACAAATTCGTTCCGATTGTCATCTGAATTCCGGTCCGTAATTCCGATTTCGGTCCGTAATGACTCATCAATTGTTTGATTTTGCCAAACCGAGGTGGAAATGGGAAGAACAAAATTGTTCCGATTTTCATCTAAAATCCGGTCCGTAATTCTGGTCCGTAATGACTCATCATCATCTCATCCTGTTCCGACAATCATTTTATTCTGTGACGTAAATCAAATAAGCTTTTGAATCGCCAAACGGGGTCAAATGTGACCGTCATCATCTAATGACCATAAAATCAAAATGCAAAATGGGTGGATCATTTACCCAAAAAAAGATTTTTTCGATGACTTTTTGATCTACCGTACAAATTACCTTCTGATTTTCATCTGATTGTTGTTTGGTACTCGTACCAGCATGGTAGGGACTTTCAAAAAGGGGGAATAAAAATTCTGAAACATACAATACCATATGGCTGGGTGTATGCATGATACGTACCAGCTAAAGCTGCTTGTCATGGATGGATACCACTAGAAGGGATAACTTCCTCTTCTTAGTTGCAGGTAGAACTAGTAGTAGTAATGGTAGTACCAGCGGAAAAAGTACTAGTCCTTTACTACTACTAGTAGTACTAGTACTAGTACTAGTACTAGTACCAAAACCATGAAGATGAATGAAAAAAAAGGAGCGCGGCTATGCTTCCTCCTTTTTGGTGTCAGCAATACATAGATTAAAAATATAAAAGTGAAGCAGGTAGAGAAGGAGAAGATCAAAATCCGGAAGGGAAGAAATTGACACCAGTTGATTTGTTCCATGAAAATCGTGAATATGTAACTTCTTCATAACAACATCATAAACACACCAAAGAAAACACACCAGCACAAAGCAACAAAAACACCAAGCACCAAGCAAGCACCAAACAACAAGCACCGAGCACCAAGCACCAAGCCCCGAGCACCAAGCACGGCACCAAGCACGGAGCACCAAGCACCGAGCACCAAGCACCCAGCACCGACAAGCACCAAGCACCGAGCACCAAGCACCCAGCACCGACGAGCACCAAGCACCCAGCACCGAGCACCAAGCACCGAGCACCAAGCACCCACCAAAACAAAACACAACACAACACGAAACTCACAAAAGCATAGTACCATGGTAAATGGACACACAAGACGATCTTCTGAGAAGAAAAGCCATGCTGCCCAGACCGTGACAAGGGATAACAAGAGACCAAAAAAAAATGGTGGAAATAAGGAGCACATTTCCCAAAGAGCTCATCATGGAGCTACTACCGAAGAACAAGGATTAGAGAACCGTACTCCTACTCCAACCATCCCAGCAAGAATTACCACTACTACTAGATATGAAACACTTCCGTGTGCTGATTCATTTGGTAGCAGCGGCACAACCTTGGGTTCTTGTGTTTCCATGACAGAAGAGGAACGGGAGGAGTTTGAAGCATTCAAGAAGTCCAAGGCAAATAATACCAAAACTACTACGGTTATTGCTGGTGACAGGAAGAAGGAAATTTCTAAAGTCCTGCAAGGAGAGGTCTCCAAGCAATTGAAGGAGAGGATCAAGCAATCTTGGTTTGCAAGCATTAAGTTTCCAGAGAAGATGCTTGTGCCTCACATCCGGGATGCAATTATCAAAAAGAATTGTGTTGCCAAGCCCAACGAAGTTACAAACCAAGATTTCAAAAAATGGCTCGAAAATGAAATACCAAGAAGCTTGGCAAGTTTACGTCACAACAGTCAAACGTTGGCAAGGAAAAACTGGTTAGGTACGGGCATTCTTAGTATATTAATGGGGAGAAAAAGTACGAATGGTGGCCTCTCAACAAGATATTTCTTTCTTGATCGTCCTTGTTTTCACAGCTGATATGAATGGTTCCCTTTCCCCCAATGACGTTGTTCCCAATGATTTTCCAGGAGCTGTTGGATTGGTGAACGACACGGGTTCAGATTGCCCTGGTTCAGGATGGACCCTTTGTAAAGAGTATCGGGAACACAAGGAGGAGTTGGCTGGTGGGGAAGAATTTTATTACTTTGTCACAAAAATATTGTCCGCCATTTCCCCAAGTCGCACCAAATTTCGGGAACGGAAAGGAAGTGAATTGATAAGTAACATATTTAGTGTTTCAGATGAGGCTTTTGGTGTTCTACTTTTACACAACGAATATCATGTTTGGGTGAACCACATTGAAAGATTGTCGGACAAGAGCATCCCAAAAAGAAAAAAAAGATATTGCAATCCGAAAAGTGGACGTAGTGAGGGTTGGAGCAAAACAGGAAAAAAATTGTTTCGACATCTTTGTCGGGAAATTGAATCACTACGAAATCAACCACAATCCGGCAAGGTTTTGGAAGAGTCGCTACAAAAAAGATTTTTGCAGGAAGACGGTGTCATTGATGTCAATAGCTATGATGGTAAGAATGGCGAGGAGGAGTCGGATGACGATGACGAATGCTACATCGACCCATTGATTAGGGATCAATGGAAAAACAACCACGGTGAATTGGAATGCACACAGGTTGAGGGGGTTTAAGGATTATCTGCAGTAGTAATTCTCTTCCTCTCATGCCTGAAAATCTCGGCCCCAGTGGTGCCGAATGCATTAACACTAAAATAAAAATTTAAACTAATGGTTGTGAGAATGCATAAAAATGGTAGCCCAACTTTATTAAAAAAGAATGGAATCTAATGAACCTAAAATGGTGTCGAAAAAACAAATGCATGAATCTCGCCCAACCTTTCGAAAGAACCAAACATTTAAAATTTAATTGAAATAATCAAAAATGTGATTCGAAAGCTTGTATCATATGATTCTAGCTGGGCCAGTTGAGAGAACCGTACAATCAAAATTTAATTCAAAAAATCAAAAACTTGATTTGAAAACTTGTACCATGGGATTCTAATGTACCGCAAAAACATGAACTCAACCACACCAAAATAGAATTGAAATAAATTGGAAATTTACTCGACTATCTTTAGACCATGGAATTAAAAAATACAATTTGCGATCCAACTATGCAAACGTGAGTAAAAATAAATTGGCACCACGTGACTTGACATTTTGACAGCAGCCATCCCGTGACTTTCAAAATTAATTCTCAACCCCCACGACTCATGGAATATTTTTTTTTAAAAATTAATTGACAAATGAGGTAGTAAGTCCGGTCGGGAATCACAACCCACGTGTTATTTTCACTCACAAAATATGTTCATTCAGGGGTTGAGAATAGGTACAAACCCCGGAAATTTACAAAAAAAAGGGGGTCGAAAAACAGTTAACGGACGTAGGTACTACTATGTAGTAGGTCCAGCAGTCCTGGTGGGGACTCATGACTGCTGAACCCCTGCACTGTACTCATTGCAATGGCACCTTTACAAGGTACAAGAGTACTGAGTATTGAGAGTATCTTTGCTTGTGACATGAAGTGTCACTACTACTAGATCAGAATCGAAAGAAGAAAAATCCATGTCGTGAATTATGGTGCCTGTACTAGTATGATCCACAGGGACCGACTGTACTTGTAATTCATATTGAATATACTTTCAAATACACATTATTTTGTGCAAAACTTGTTGGGTTAATACCAAAACATGGGTTACTTTTTGTGAAAAATAACCTGCATAACCACATTTAGAAACATCATCTGTGATTTCATTGGAACAATAACCCACAAAATCATGCCCCCAAATGATGGATTTCAAAGGGGGGATGCGCGCTTCCGGAGGGCTTTCATTGAATTTTCAATCAACGCCAATCTATTCATATTTAAGTCAAGCAAGTCAGAAACCATTCGTGTGTACTCTCTCCATCCATGCAAGGTATGTGCAGTATGTACGTATTCATGGATGATAGTTAATCGAGAGGAATACGACCAGAAAGATATTACCAGTGCCGACGTAAGATACGTCCAAGACGTACAGAATGTTCAAAATAATTTGTCGTACAGTATTGTACGGACGAGTACGATATTGTACCTTTACGAAATCAGATTAAAAAAATTTGTTGTACTTCGATCACGACTACATCTTCGAGCTACCGTACAGACTTATCCTGAGCTGAAGAACTGACTTCATAGTAGGGAAAGGTACTTCTTCCAAGCCTACCGTAGCATACCGTATTATTCCTTTTCTCTTCGAATTTCCACGAGCACGTTATCCCAGTACTTAAGGATTCGTAAAGGATTTTCAGGCCAGAAGAATCGATATTGGTAGTACAGTAAAAAATTAGTCGCAGTGCTCGCACTTGCTATGCCAACTATTGGTCTCCCATAGCGTCTAACTTTCTTCGTAGCACCTCGTCTGGTGCTGGGTCGTCTAGCAAGTATTCCTTCCTTTGGGGTTGGAAGACTACTTCCTGTCAAGTAAGGTAACTATCAATCTTCAGTTTCTGTTCGATTCAAAGCACAGTAGCTTAGTTCGAGGAGTAGGAGCTACCAGTAATTTATAGCGTTTGCCAAAAGGGACGGTCTGGCTGCTTGGCCCCTTTCAATTTTCTGAAGGGAGCCATTTCGTCTCGACGTAAAATATCACCATTCGCATTCTTTGGCGATTTCAAGTAATAACTGAATGCGACAAGTGAACAATGGCCAAGAGAATGGGGATCGAAGAGAATGCTCCAAGCCGTCGTGCAAATCTTGCAAACCGAGACTCGGCAAGTTCGGACCTGGTAAATGATCACTCTAATCCTCAAGAAGTGACAGGTGCGACGAAGGCAGTCTTGCGAAAGAAAGAAGGCGCTAACGTCCAGAATCAACGCAGCGCATTAGAAAAATCTACCAATTCACCCAACGATTTGGAGGAGAGGCGCAAACTATTCGTTGGTGGGTTGCCTACAGACAGTAAGTAGTTCGAAACAAGAACTCAAGTCATTAAGTTAGACTCMAGTATTGAGAAAGTGTATAGGATTAATGCTTTGGATACTAAACTTGTCTGGCGGATAATTCATTTCTATCCACGTTCCTTTTCCTCTAGTTACTGACCCTGAATTTCGAGAGTTCTTTTCTCAGTTTGGAGAACTCGAAGAAGCACTTGTGATGTTTAACAGAGTCACTCGACGATCTCGCGGGTTCGGATTTGTGACTTTTGTTGATGCGGTAAGTGCCATAATAATTACTTCAGAAGGTATGAAAATTCTGGATTGATTTTCTAATCTATTTGTTGCCGGTGTCGAAAATGTGCTCCATTCATACATCAGAATGTGTCGAAGTCTCTCTTGCAGACAGGAGACCAGGGCGATGGAATCGGACGACTTGAGATAAGGGGGAAAACGTGTGAGATCAAAGCTGCTGCTCCGAAAGGCCGTGCCCCTACTCGTGGGGAAAAGGCCAATCGGTGTTACCGAGGCTCTCACAGCTATCACAAAGCACAAGCTCGTCAACTTCCGCCGGCTGCACACAATGGACAGCTTCCTGTCGTCTACCCGAATGGTACCTATAACTTGCCATTTCATCATCAACCGCACGCGTATGCAAGTGCTGAGTATCATACTCACATGTACCATTCTAACACGGTTCCACATAGTCATGGTCAGGCTTACCCTCAAGCTTCACCATATGGATTGGTTGTCATGACAGCGGACGGTGATCATGGAGCTGCTGACTTAATTGGAACGCCATACTTTTCACCACCATCCGTAGGGATGAATCCACCAGAACAATTTTCAGTGCTAAATTGGTTTTCTCCCGCACATCAAATTCCTGCTCACTTTCACCAGCAAGTTCGTGGTTTTACCCCGCTGATCCCTGATCACCTTAACTTAGTTCATCCAGTACTGGAGGACGGTACTAGTCCAATTGAACCCATGGAACAAGACATTGAGAAGATGTCAACGGGTCAAAATGTTGATCAAAGGCCTCTTGGATTAGGAGAAGAATAAACTGACAAGTGTCAAAATTGCAGCCTAGTGCATTGTCAAAATGGATGTATGAATTTTCAACATGATTTCACCTGAAACAGTATGGAGAGCATTCATGATAGCAAGAATCAATAAATTTTATTAACGTTAACCATGAAAGATAGCCATTATGAGGTATATTTGGTTTCTAGGCTGAATCACAGCTGGGGCCATCATGTCAGAATCAGTGATTTAGATTGATAGGAGGACAAAGAGATCAAAGAAAAAAACTTAATATTATGCTTAACCTCATGGAGTAGGGAGGCACTAGTAGGAAGGCCAGAACCATCATTTTTGCGGAGGAGGATGCACCTTGTGGTTCCAAGGAGCAATACTCCTGAATTAACAAGACCAGGTTTAGTACTATGATATGCTAGGATTATAATTTGCAAAGCATCTTTTTTAATAACATGAATACCTTAATATTCTAGGAATAACACTTCAGTTCTGATAGCAAATTATCACCTAAAATTTCTACTGATTCTGAAGCAAATACTAACCTAATTTCGTATCTTTTGAAATCAAGCAGGGTGACATTCCCTTTGAACAGGGAAACCCATTCTCCATGCTGGTCTCTCCACTCTGATGAGCATCCTGCCTATTGTCCATAACCTCCCTCCATCCCCAGCTCACTTGGAGGTGCTTCTTCCTTTAATGTTTTTTGGCCTGACAGCTCCTTTTCTCATTCTTTCCCTGATCTTGTTTCCAATTTTTGTACTGGATAACAACAACCCAAACCCCATTCCAAAAACACAACTCAACCAAGTCACCCAATAGATCTCCTTCTTGAAGTTTCCCCAGCATTACCTCCTAGTAACACCAGTTCCTTCTGTAATGCTGCTGTTTCTAACATTTCTTGTGTCAGACAACAATAACAGCAGCAGCAACGCTCACAACATCAACAATGACAACAAAAATAACAATCTATGCCCTAATCTATACTTCCCATTCAAAGAAGACAACCTCAGCCACTCCTGTATTTGTTACTATACTGGCTTACTCCACTGATACCTCCCTGGCAATAGCTTTGCTTGCTGCAAATTCCATCTCCAGGTCTTTTGGGGATAGAACTGCTGCTGTTTTCAACATTTGTGTTGAGCAACAACAACCTCAACCATAGCCCTAGATCTATCTCCTCCTAGTGAAGAAGAACATTTGTATTCCCTGCCCGTAATACTCAGTTTGAAGTTTCTTTAGCTCTCTCTCTCTCTCTAAGCACCAGTTCTTCTGCTTGTCATGTTGTTGCTTTCTGACACTTGTGTTGGACAACAACAACCCAATACCCAAGAATCCAGCTTTAGATCTCCTTGAAGGTCAATAGATCTATTACAACCAGCAGCATCATAATCAGCCTCTATAGTGTAACTGGCATTTGTGTCAGACAACAAGATTTCAAGCCCAAGTCCCCACATTTTTCCTTATAGTAAAGAAACAATGCCTGGACTTCTTCTTGCCCCCCATACTCAGTTTGAAGCTTCTTTCTTAGCAGTATCTCTGAGCACAAGAAGTTCTTTCTGTAATGTCTGACCAGCCATCAAGGCTCATCTAATCCCCACCACCAGTCTTTCTACTTGTGCCTTCCTCCTATCTAAACAGCAGCCTGATTAGCCTACTATCCATGATGCCTTTAGAAGAGATATTGCAAACAGCTGCTCCTACAGCAATGCTTGCTGCAACCTTCATTAATACTTCTATCACTGTGAAAAAATTTTTGACCACCCCATGCTCAATTTCTTTGAAACCAACCAAACCACCACGACCAGTATCAATTTACTTTTTCTCTGGCTTTTTTTCTTACAACAACCAATCTTCTTCTGTGCTCACTACTGGAGGGGAGTTGCCTTAATTAGCTTCTCCTCAGCAGTATGCATAACTGTAACAAACCAACCCTTTCATGTCCACTGAGTCCTGTCCCTACCTTACTAACCAGTAATTAGTGTGCATAGAAACACTCATACCTGCTTGTTGTGAGTACCACCCTCTGAGTATCTATTCAAATCCTTCTTCTTTGTCCTCAAGAGAAGAGACAGTTCTGGCCTTCCTACTACAAATAGTCCATGAGGTTCAATGTGATTTTTATTTTGTTGGGTATGCTGGGATAAAGCAAAATACTGGGGGTCACTGTGACAACTTTGTTTGGTCTGGTGGAAGAAATGGGGATCCAGAGAAGTGTCAGCTCAAGAAGCTTCTTCTTGTATTGCTGCTTTTTGACATATGGGTCAAAGATCAGGATTTCTTAGTATGTAATTCACTCCAAGGGTTGATCACTATTTCTCAATGGAGGGAAGAATTGACTTATTTGATTGGTATGCAGAAAAGTTGTAGCAGCATTGCCATTGATGTCACTGCTTCTGTAGATTGTTGTCTTCTACTAACTATGATGCAATAAGACAAGGAAGAATTGTTGGTGGCATTAGATATAAAAACCTCAGGGTTAGTGGGAAGAAAAAAGCCTCAGCCAGCCAGATCTTGGGTTAGTGGGAAAACAAGAGACTGATTCTCTTCATCAACCATATTTTGTGAATAAATGTGTCTACTTTTGAGAAACATCAGTTTCAATGTTCTTTAGGAGGAAGTAGATATAGTAGATGAAAAAAGGTAATAGATTACAGTATTAATATGTTGTTGGGTTTGTGTCCCAGAATGGTCAAGGTCCAACAAGGAGTATTTCAAATTGCACGAATGTTGAGCTAGTAATTTTCAATTTTCACCCTTAAAGGTGCAACTTCAACACCTATTTTGGGATAGAGCAAGTATTATTTGAAAATGACTGACGCAAGGTTCCAAAGACAGAAAATTAACTTTTTCCCGTCACGTGTTGCCAAATGTTGCCACCTGGAAAATCAAGGATATTTTTTGGCTACTACTACTACTACTACTACTACTACTACTACTACTACTACTACTACTACTACTACTACTACTACTACTACTACTACACCACCTATCATACCCCTCTAATCACTATAAACAATAGTATAAGAATATATTTGAACACATTTAAATCTATTCATTTATAAAACATCACTACACTTGATGGTTGAAGTTACGCCAATGCTCTTTACATACAGCACCATTGCAACTTCTGCAACCATTCCTTTTGACATTTTTAGTATACTACTAATCCATGGCAACAACTTGTTCCTCAATCTCCTCACTGATAAGTTAGGATAACTATTCTTTGCTTCTTCTACACAGACAACACAATAATTCCTCTTTTCTCCTTCTTCATACTTTTGCCACTGCATCTTTCTTTATGTGGCTTTGGCATTACCTTTCCATGAGCGATGGTGCTGGTCTTCTTGTTCACACAACAAATCCTGCAATTGCAAGGGTGATATTTTCCATTCTTTGAAGTCTGAGGCATCTGCTCTGGCTTAGAACCTTCATCATATGGAGCTTTTCAGTCCATTTCAATACCTCTACTAGTAGTATTCATCAATGCAATGCCAAGATGAGATTGAAACTTTTTCCTACTGTTGTGTTTTGATTTGTATATCTTCCATTCCTTCATAAACTCGTCATATGCTAGGCTAGTGACAATTATGTAGCAGGAGTATACCACTCTATCAAGCAACCAGAAGAAAATACAAAGGTACCATCTGATACCCATCTGTATTCTTCATACTATAGCTTGGTCACAACTTTCATTGTAGTAGTGTACTAGAAGTTGTCCATGAACAGTCGACGGCCATTATGTTGTCCAAGATTGATTGACATACCAACCACTAAATAATATGTAGACCCACTACTAATACCAGTGTAGATCTCAAATGCAATTAAGTACCCAGTGTCAGCATCACACACACAGTACACCTTAATACCATGCTTGATTGGCTTCTTGGGAAGATACTGGACAAAGAACCAAATGGATCGACTAAATGCAGAACACACTTTGTTTATTGGGATTGGTACATCACAGAGCTTGAGCATCTTTGTCTTCTTTACCCTTCTATTAGCATCAGTAGCTTCAACTTCTGTCACCCAATCTTCAAACACATACTGGTTGGACTCATTTGCTATCATCTGAAGGATTTTTTCATCAAACAAGGACAAGAACAAATGCGCCAACCACTCCACCTTATTATTGCAGCCATCCAATGAATTGCTTACAGCCTGGGTGGGACCTGGGGTCACACCTCCTCCAGGTGATGTATACTGGACATTGGGAAGAGGATACCATTCCTCTGCATCGTCACCCAGTTTCCAAGCTTCATTTGTTGGTGTTGTCCGTAGGATATCAGACCGTGGGTATGATTCATACATACGACACGTACATACGATACGTAT